GGGGGGGGGGGGCATGCAGGAGGCAGTAGATCAATGACTCTCTCAGCATTGATGTTTCTTTCTCTCTCTCTACCTCTCCCTTTCTCTCTCTGAAATCTATAAAAAGATATATTTAAAAAAAAAGTTATGAGAAAACCAAACCACAAAATAAACACATCAGGGTGTTTTCATTGTTAATGAATAGAGTTGGAAGGGGGTCAGAGTCACCTAGTCCAGATCCTTTGTTCTTAGATAATGAAGCCAAGCCTAGAAAGGTGCTGTGTTTGCCAGTTAATTCATTAACTGCTAGAAACATTAATTTGCCACTTAATTCAATAATTGCCAAGCCAAGACAAAACCCATCCACCACGGCTTTCAGCCCAGGACTCTTTCTACCCCATTCCATGTGAAATTATTCTTCAATATTTTTAGCCTTTTTCTTTACTCCTTTAAGAAATAACTTTACAAAATGCATTTGCTTCAAACTATAAAACTTTTGGTGGAAGGCAGGAACACACAAACAGAACTTGGATGTTTGTACGGGCACGTCACCACTCTTCTCCAAACATGTTTACTCTTGCAGCAATGTGGGAGCTTCTACTGGATCCCTAGACTACATCAGCGAACACTGAGGATCTGAGGCCCTGTCTCCAAACTCATTCATTCAATAAAGCAGTCACTGTGTGCTAGGCAGCATGCTAGGTGCTGGGATTACAAAAACAAGTAAAAAATGATTTAACCCCAAAGGCACTCTTTTGGGGAGAAAACACACATAATCAGATATACTACAAAGATGGTACAGTAAGTGCTTTAATAGTGAAACAATACAAATGAGGACCCTCGACTCTAAATGAAAGACTTATGCCTTCTAGGGTGCCTTTTGCAAAAGTGCCCTTTGAAACAGTCTAAGAGGATGAGAATAGTTTACCAGGCAAGGGATAGAGAGGATTCAAGGCATGAGAGGGCCCATCAGGAAGTGTGCAGAACATGGTGGGTCAGGAGACAAGAAGTTGATGAGGTGGGAGAAGAGGGTGGGAAGAGAGCTTGGGGCCAGCTCGGGAAAGGTCTTAGGCTACATGCTGAGGAGTGCTTCAACCGTGGAGGGGTTTACAATGAAGGTAAAAATACGTGTAATACAATGTCCCACCACAGAGTTTCAAAAAGAGAGGATGGGATTTGACAGATTTATTTTTCTGAAAGATAACGTTGATCCTCACTTACTATACCTAGAAATGAGATAAAATATTCCTGCTATGACATTTGTTGTCAAAATCAAATAGTGGATGTGAAAATGCCTAGTAAGTTATACCATAAGATATAGATATGAAATATTTATTCATGTCATGTGATAATAAAATCAGATGGTGAAACTTTGGTGTGGATAAATATCAGGCAGACAGCACACTTCTGAGCATCGATAGCATTTTGAGATCAAACCCTGGGGATATTTCCACCAGATTCTGCAGGTACATGACAAAGAATATATCATTGATGCCTGTCTTGACTAAACTGCACATTTGACTTTAGATTAGGGTCCTTACAAAAAACAGCATAGAAACTACATCTGCATTTGTTGTAAAAACCTTTTCAAAAACTTTGGCCATTATATATCTCAGTTTTTAAAAATATGAGTAAATTAATTATTAATTTGTCTTCATACATCATAGTTATAATCATTAGGTTATGAGTTATTTAATTAATTAATACCAACTAAGGAAATAAGAGATGTATATCAAGATTTATATATTAGAAACTTCATCGCACTGTTATTTATAATAAGGAAAAATCAGAAATGACCTAAATGTCTCTCAATGGCACTGAAAATTAAATTATGGCTTGTTTACAAGGTGGAATATTTTGTAACTATCAAAATCATGATTTTAAAGACTAATGATATTGATAAAGTGTTCAAAACATTAAGTGAAAAAAATTGTAGGGTGTACCATTTGATCCTTATTTGAGGACAAAAAAAAATTGTAGTTCCTCCCCCAAAGCTGAAAAGAACGGATAAAATTATAATATTTAAATTTTTTCTCCATGCAATTATTACAAAAGAGTTTTCTTTTTATTAAAATTTTCTAAAACTTAAAAAAATTGTTATTACCTATATGAGAAAAAAATGAACATTTTAAAAATGATTTATATTAAGTAATTTTGTGCTAGGAAATTATTATTCTTGACTATCCTTCTGTGGCTTATGCTTTCATGTTTTTGATGTAATCTCTGCTGCAACGATTAGTGCACATCTGGGAAATTTTACTCCATTAACTGTAGGTTTCTGAGTTCTTCAACCCTCTTTCCTCTGAGAAAAGTTTCAAGTGTTATTTCTGCACATAAAGAGCTTATGATTTATGTGTGAGGATGAGACATTCAGGGAACAGCTGGGACATAGGAATCTTAACAATTTCATAACGTTAATAGTGACTTTCCAAGATGAGTACATCACTTTGATTGGTAGATGAAGAAAATGAAGAATTAGTGGTTTTTCCAGTATCATACAAGGACCCAGGTATCCTGGTTCAACTGGGCTATAAAACCCCAAAATATTACTTACAATCCAAGAGGAAACCAAGGTCAGCCTCCATAAAAAAGTTAAAGGAAGAGGGCTGGTCAATCCCCCAGGTTATGACTCTTCTTCAGCAGGCGATGAGTCTATGGGCCCTTCAGCCATTGAGACCACCCTCATCGATGGCATCTCACAGCTCAGTTGGGCTGTGAATTAGGGTGCTTTCAATTGCCAGTGACACAAACTCAACTCAAACCATAACAAAATAAAAGTAGGGGAGGAATTTATTGGTACATATAAAGCCTGGAAGCCACGGGTTTAAGACTGGCAGGTCCTAGGAGCTCAGACGTTGTTGTCAGGGCTCTGGCTCCTTCTTTCTTTTTCACTGTGTCTCTGCTTGGCTTCGTTCTTCGGACAGGTGTTCACCAGGTACTTGGCAATATGACTGCCAGAAATCAGGGCGTACATCCTAGTGTTTAAGAACTCCCTGGAGAAGTATCTCTAGAAAGTTCTAGCACAGAAGTCCCCAGGAAGACCCTTATTCCCTAGGGTCTACCATGGGCCTGTCCCTGAGCCAGTCGCTGAATCTTGTTGAAGATTCTGCCCCATCCTAACCACCTGAAAAGTACTCCCCTTGGTGAAGGGGTGTCCTATTCATAGAAGAAGAGTTGGCAGAAGGAGAGGGGATGCTCATCAGGTCTTCACTGTGAGAGGTAGTGCCAGTGACCTAAGGATTAGTATTAACAATGTAATACAGAAACACATACAAAAGGAGAGAAGGGAGCCTGGCTGGTGTGGCCCACTGGTTGAGCATCAACCCATGAACCAAGAGGTCATTGGTTCAATTCCCAGGCAGGGCACATGCCCAGGTTGGGCTCAATCCTCAGTGGAGGGCATGCAGGAGGCAACCAATCAATGTTTCTATCTCTCTATCCTTCCCCTTCCTCTCTAAAAATCAATAAAAGGATGTTGTTTTTTTAAAAAAAAGGAGAGAAGGGAATAATAATAAGACTCCTAGCACAGTTTTCCCAGAGAAGATAGGAGATGACACATACTAGGGTTATATAAAATTCTGTTAATAATAGACTAAATAATGCCTAATTGGAAAGTAAATCTCTTTGTAAGAAAACTCACACTATACTCACAGTGACAAATAATTTTTTATGACATATGCTTTCAGAGATAATTGCAGTAAGTAGACAAGTCCAACTTGCAGCTATTAGGAATGAGATAACCTGTTTTGAACAAACACTTAGAGTGGAGTTTAAAAGGCAGAGTTGTCATAGAAATATCTCTTTATAGAATAATTCAGAAACTAATCACTCATACAGTTACGGAGATTTTAATTAGGCGGCATAATTTCTGAAAACAATGGAGGAAAAGAAGCCCAGCATCACCTATATGTGAGAGTGAGCTCTCTTATCGCCCATGTGGTAGGGTGCAGAACTTATCACAACAATAATTCCTCCTGACATGCTTTACTCTGTCATATATTAACTCAGCTAATCTCTATAACGTTCCCAGGAAGCGGACTTTATTATAAACACGTTGTATAGATAAGAACACTGAGGCATAGAGACACCACACAGCCAGTGAGAATTCGAGACATCGACTCAAATTCTCCTGTTGGTTTTCCATACATGTAACAGGAAGAACACACGTTTGGTGAGAGAGAACTGAGTTTGAATCCTGTCTCCACCACCTAGTAACCATGTAACTATGGCTTCTGATCCCCCTTTCCTCAGATGTAAAAACATGTTGATCATACCTCATGTAATGTGTGTGATACTAAAAACTGTCTCATTTTAGGTCTTACGGGTCCTCTCTCCCGAACTCCAAGTCATTACATTTAGCCTTGAGGCTGGAGTGGGGCAGAAGAAAGGGCCGCACCCCGCCCTCCTGGTGTGAGCCTGGGAGAGGAAGGATCCACTCGCGGGAGAGGAAGTAGACGCACAGCGCCCACCTTCTGGCTCCAGGGGCAAGAACGGGAAATGGAAGTGGAGGAAAAGAGCAGAAGCAAAGTTTTGGTTTTCTGCTTCCATTTTTTCAGGTATAAATTCAAGGGGAAGGAACGTAGGTGAGCCCAACAATAGAAGGTCTTCTGCCTCCATCTGTGTTCAGACTGAAAGGACACCCTCCTGCCCCCGAGGCTGGCCCAGCCCTGCCTTGAGCAGTCCTGTAAAAAAAGCTTGGTGCACAGCGTGGTGTAGGAGGAAGAGACCCAATTTAGCAATGTGAGTGCATTGGTTGCCCACAGTGGGGTGAGGCCTGGCTGGGAATCCACTAGTGTCTGAAACTGCAGGCCCCAGGTGGACAGAAGTACCTGGAAGATGCATGGGGGTCAGAGCCGGGGATTTAGATATGGAAATTGTAAGTCCAATTAAATGTTTTTGTTTTTTCCTCTGAAAACACATTTGTTTTTAGTAATGAATTTTACAACAGGGGTTTTCTTTGACCAATTCATTTTGTAGCCATTCTCTTTACTCTGACAGTGAGGAATTCCATAAACGTCCTTCGGAAGTATTAACTAGCATGGAATAAATACTGGGCTGTAAGCCAGATTAAAGAACACATGCTCTTAAGATAAATACTCTGTGATTATACTTACATGTAGAAGCAAAAAAATCAAATCGCAGAGAACAGATCGGTGGTTTCTAGAGGTGGGAAGGAGTGAGGGAAATAAGGAAAGGTTTTAAAAGGTACAAACTTCTAGTTATAAGATTAAATAAGTCCTGGGGATATAATGTACAGCATGGTGACTAACAATACTGTATTGTTTATTTGAAAGGTTGTTAAGAGAGTAGATCTTAAAAGTTCTCATCACAAGAAAAAAAGGTGTAACTGTGTGGTGATTGATGCTAACAAAATATATTGTGATAATTATTTTGATATACATATAGCAAATGATTATGTTCTACACCTTAAACTAATACAGTGTTATATGTCAACTATATCTCAATAAAACTGGGGGAAAAGAATATATGCTTTTTATGACCAGCTTTAGTGCCTGTTTCCTGGGAAGGTCGTTGCAATACTACTGTGTGCTCCTATGGCTCTGAGTTTTGCTCTAAGGGCTGATGTTCCCAGGTCCTTGTGGAGTCTGCAATTAAACTGTCAGAGGTCCAATTACCAGCAGCATGAACTCGATATACAATGTAAATGTAGGCTCACAAAGAGTATGTTAAATCTGTATTTGTTTCCAGACTTCACCTTTACAGAGCACAGTCTCTTTGGCCAGACACTGTCATTCACAGAAATAAGAAATTCTCCTTTTGGACCTACTCTTTCCTCTCACTACATGTTCAAGGAGGGCAGAGTTTCTCAAGCTTTCACGAGGGCCATTTGCCTGGATAATTCTTCCTTGTGGGGAGCTAGTCTGTACATGGTAGGATGTTTAATAGCAACTCTGGCCTTTACTCACTAAATGCTTACTGTCAACATGCAGAATGTCACCAGACATTGCCAAATGTCCCCTGGCTTGGGGGAAGTGGGGACAAAATCACTTCCAGTTCAGAATCACTGCACAGCGTCGCCTAGGTGCTCTTGGTCTACATTCAGTTTCTTTGGCTCTCATTTCTGCTGCCCAGCCCCACCCCACCCGTGGCCCAGCCTCCGCCTCAGTGCAGATTCAGCCAGTAATTCAGGAGAGCTTGACCAATGGGTGGTTGTGGGTGTAGATGCCTGTGAAGAGGTAGGTAGAGAAGAGGCTAGAGTCCTAACCTCTGGTAAAGTCCATATTTGCTTCATTCTCTGCCTAATTCAGTTACTTATCAGCACAATTACCAAGAAAATCAGAGACTTTTTCTTTTTACCTAGTTTACCCTTAAAAAACTACACCATCTGTTTATTCCAGCATGCTGTGCAAAGAATATTTTTAAAAAATTGATTTGAGAGAAAGGAAGGGAGAGGAAAAAAACATGGATTTGTTGTTCACTTATTTATGCATCATTGGTTTATATTTGTATGTACCCTGATCCGGATCAAACCTGCATCCTTGGCGTATTGGGACGACGCTCTAACCAACTGAGATACCAGGCCCGGGCAAGACTATTATTTTTAATGTGTGCCAGGACGTAAACGGGTTTGGGGAAGCCTTGTGATAGCTATTTAGAAGGATGGCTTTAGAAACACAGAGGTCCCTTGGGGGTTTCTCTATATCCAGTTTCCAATGGGCCACTTGCTCAAGAGAAGAAGGAAAATCGTTTCCTAGTCCCTCCTCAGTGAGCTGGAGGGCTTCATTATTTCTCAATTAAAATCCAAAAAGGTGGGAATTCTTATCCAGAAATGACATTTTTGTTATTTGACTGAATTTCCCCCCCAAATCAATATCCTGGGCTCTATACATTTGCAGCTTTTCTTTTTTCTCTGAAAAATCAATGTGCTTTGCTCAACTAGTTAGAAAATGAGAACTGAAACAAACAGCTGGATTCATTTAAGATGTTTCCTGTTCATTTCAACTTGAAATAAACTTTTCAGCAGATTGCCTTTGTGGCAGTTGAAGGCCAACATAAATTTAAACAGCAGGTTTCTTGCCTTTAAGAAACCAAGGCTTCCTGGTGCTCAAGCCAACAAAGGCTTCATCAGGATTTGGTGGCTGCAAAGCCCAGGACTCTGTCAGCCTCACGCACAGAGGGGGGACGCCTGCCCTCTGGGAAGATGTGACCAATTCAAATACAACCTGGCAGGGGGACTCAGGATGGGCTCACAGGTTGTCAACTGATACAATTTTCTGCTACTCACCATGGCCCCCTGCCTGGGCCCTGGTCCTTTCTCTCCACTGCATACCTCCTACATGGGCAATAACAGATTGCTAATTTTCCAAAGGGGAATAAAAGTGATAGCATGCTGTGAAACCTCTTGTTGATTGTGTAAAAGCAGTGTTTGTCCCCATTTCTTAAGCCTCGGCTTTCTGTTCATGTTTATCATTTTCTCAGTGGGAGCAAGGCTGCCTAGATTACCGAAAGATTTTTGCCCTGAATCCAATTCAGGTATGCCAGGGATTGTATCTGTGGATACCACCCAACAAAGCGCGATGAGAAAGTACAGACAGTGATCATTGCATTTAACTTATTCAACAAATGTGTTTGTTGAATATCGATTATGAGCCATACTCTGTGCTGGATGTTGGAAGCAACGGAAAACAGACTGGGTCTCCACCTTCATTGGTCTCACTGACATTATTTAAAATAAACATTCAAATAGATGAAAAAGCACAAGTGTGAGAGGGACCATGAAAGAGGGGTGCATGGATCTGTGGGAGACCTTGTCGAGTATTTGGCCAGACCCAGAGGCCAGACCACGCAAATCCACGTTTAGTGTTAAGCCTTTGTTTACGAGCAATGAGCGTATTATTGATGGGTTTACCAAGAGTGTGATTCAGCCAACTTTGTTTTAACTCACTGTGTGCTTATGAACTGAAAACCCAGGTAAATTCCATGGCATGCTATTGACAAATGCTTGAATGCAGAAGGTATCATGCTATAATTTGTTACTGGGCTAGACTTGGAGAAACTGGGATAAAAATGTCCTTTTAAAAGTAAATATCTGAAATACTGACAGCCAATGTGCTGAGTCCTTTTGTTGATCTCAGCAAATGAAGTCATATTAACACAGATTCAAGAAATTACTTGGATCTTGGTTTATGTAACTTTTTAATCTACATGCCAGTGTCCTCCCCGAATTCATGTTTACCTAAAACCTCAGAAGGTGACTTTATTGGAAATAGGATCTTTGTAGATGCAATTAGTTAAGGATCTCCAGATAAAATTATCCTGGATTTAGGGTCAGTTGTAGATCCAAAGATGGGAGAGAGGAGAGGGAGGTTTAGACACTGAGAGACTTAGAGAGCAGGAGGCCGTGTGAAGACAGAGGCAGGGAGTTTTCCTGCCACAAGCCAAGGAATGCAAAAAGGAAGCAGAAACTGGAAGCAGCAAGGAAAAATTCTCCCCTCAGCCTTTGAAGGGAGCCCTGTGGACACCTTGATTTCAGATTTCTGGCCTCCAGAACTGTGAGAGAATACATTTCTGTTGTTTTAAGCCATTAAGTTTGTGGTGATGTTAGGACAGCCTTATGAAACTAATACATGGATGTAAGCAAGGTTCCCACCCCCAAGGCTGCACCATAATTATTTTAAAAATTTTCACTGAATTTTTTGTACTGAAATATTACAAAATTGTTTCATTGCACCAATTTTTGCACCAGTTTTTCTTCTTTCATTAAAAAAAAAAAAAAAAGTAAATCAAAGGTATTTTCCTCATGATTTTTGCTACCTGCTTTAACAAAAAGATTTTTGCACATCTGGAAAAGATAAAAAAAATAACCCACAACTTTTATTTATTTTAGACCTAAGTTATGAGCAACTTTTGGTTCAAATTACACAGGATAAGTTAAAATAAATTGCATAACATTAACCAATATGCATGTCTCTCTGAAGTCATGGCTATAGATAAAACTTAATATAGAGCAAGCCAACAATGAACGAAGCAACAAAGATCATTCTGGCTGCAACGGACAGAGCAGATTGCGAGGAGCCAGGACTGGAGATGAAACCCTTCACTGGAAGGAGGCGGGGAGTTTTAATGTGTTTGCAAGTGGGCGGACTCAGGTTCTGTGTTCAGGGAGAAGCACAGCTGAGGGTGCGTGGGTCCTGACCATTAAGTCTGGAGCCTGTCTATGTACTTGAACAAGATCCCTATGGCTAAGGCCTGGAGGGAGCAGGGTTGCTCCCTGTAAATGAATGGATGGGCTAGGACAGAGAGCATCCCCATGGGACCAAGGCAGCCTGGAGACCAGGAGGTCTTTTTCAAGCATTCTCAAGCATTCTGTGAAGAGGTGTCTTGTAACAATGACAGATCTCAGGCATCATCTC